GTCCAGAGAAACAAAACTTGAAAAAATTCGAATGGGAACTCGCGAGCAGTAAAATTGGGAATTGCGGAAATAGGAAGATGAGAAATTACTTCGACTGGGATCGAATTGGGGAGGCGGAGTGGATTCTTGTGGGAGCTGAGTTGGGGCTTCGACAGAGGTCGAAACTGGCGGAGGCTGAGAATCGTTCGCCGGCGCCGCCGTCAACGGCTGCGTAGGAAAAGAGGCGTGGTTAAGGAGATCGCTCATCCTTGCAATCCCCTCCGGTTTCAGTACCCAGTATCCGGGTGAAATTAAATTTGAATTTAGGGCCCTTGTTTTGATATGGAATTTAGCTTGAAGTTTGAACGGGTGGTTGTATTGGCTGTTTTAATTAATTAATTAATTGTATCGAGAGTTGGTAAAAATTTGTTGGGCAAACTTAGCTTTTTCAAAATAGATTTTATGAATTAAACTAAATTTAATGAAATTCTTGCCCATATAATTGTTAGGCAATAATACTTCTAACTCTTATATTGCTGGTTTATGTTGATGATATTATTATTACTAGTAGTTCCTCTACTCATGTTTGTGATTTTATCACTCAGATTTGTGGCGAGTTTCAGACAAAAGATCTTGGCCTTGTTCATTATTTCATTGGTCTTGAGGTGTGTCGTACTGCTTCTTCTCTTACTGCTTCACAAAAGAAGTAAGGTCTGGAGCTCGTTTATCATGCGGGCTTGGATGACTGCAAACCCACTGCCTCGCCGTTGCAGGTTCGGCCAGATAGGGTTGACGGTATGGGGGATGATCTATTCTCTGATCCTACTTTGTTTTGCAGTCTGGTTGGTGGTCTTCAATACCACACTACCACTCGTCCTGACACACAATTTGCTGTGAATTATGTCTATCAACGCATGCATGATCCTACGGAGAATGATTTTCAAAGTTTGAAGCGGATTTTGCGGTTTGTTAAAGGGACATTATACAGAGTTCTTGTCTTTCAACCTGGTGATCTTTAGCTTCGTGCTTATTCAAACTCTGATTAGGCTAATGATATGATTGATGGGCGCTTTGTCACAGGCTATCTTGTGTACCTTGGCCTAAATTTAATCTCCTAGAGTACAGAGAAGCAGACTCGTGTATCTAATTTTTCTACTAAAGTTGAATAACGAGCTTTTTCATTTGTTGCCTCTGAAGTTATGTAAGTTATGTGGCTGACTTAAGTTGTTGCTAATTTACGCATTCCAGTCTCATCACCACAAATTTTCTGTGATAATCAATTTGTTATTTGTCTTACACAGAATCCAGTATTCCATAAACGTATAAAGCACGTGGGCACAAACTGTCATTTTGTTCATGAACAGGTTATTGCTGGTACCATGAATGTCTCCCACGTGTTCTCGGAAGATCAACTTGCTGATTTGTTGACCAAGTCGCTACCAAAGCCACGAGTCCAGGCTCTTGTTTCCAAGCTTTCGCTCGTACCGCGCGTTCAGCTTGACGGGAGGTGCTAAACAATAATACTACTCTTAACTATTGAAGTGTTGGTTATTGCACTCTTTATAATTACCAGCTTCTGTTCTTGTTTTTTAGTTCTAGCTGGGGTTATATTTCCCTTCTATATATATTCTACAATGTATTCTGTTATCTCTTGAATAATGCAGTTCTTTCAATATCTCAATAATAATTATATGGTATAACATGCTTTGCAATATATATTCTTTCTTTCCTCAAATAAAATTTTAAGCTATATATTATTCTAAAATTATTATGATTTTATTTATTTATGTATTTTTATCAATCAATTGATAGAATATTATAATTATATGGAGTATCATATTTTGTTTAAAAAAACTTTTGATATAGTTTCTACATAAATAATTGACTTATTTCTATACCAAATTCTCAAAAAAAATTCAAAACAAAAATATTTTTTCTCGCAAATCGCTTCATGAATTTACATGGGAAGGACTATTTATTCATATATTATTTACTTATTTATTGATTTAGTTATTAATTGATTTTTTTATTTATTTATCAATTTTTTATTTATATATATATATTTTTATCTATCAATTTTTATTTAATTATGCAATAAATAATTATTTTTTATTTATTTATACAAATTGCATACCATAACAAATAATTAAAAAAAATTAAGGATGTGTTTCTATTAACTCCCAAAAAACGGACTCTGTCTTTTCTCCCCCCTGAACTCTGATCCAGGAGACCGGGATCGTGGACTACCCAATATCATTCTCCTATTTTTGCCCCATCTTCAATAATTGACTGATCGATTCTACTAATTGATACTTCTCTCCGTGATCATCTGCGACGAACCAGGCCATTTGGTGCTTACTCTGGTGGCAATGGCGAATCCAAGCACCACATGTCATTCTCCTTCTGCACCAAAACCCTCAATCACTCACGTCATCTTCGACATGGACGGCCTTCTTCTCGGTATGTCCACACCCATCATCTCCATGATTTTCTTCTCCTAATTACTGCAGTTTATTGCGTTTCTGGAGTTCAATTTTTGCTATGTCTTGGTACATGCCTCTGGATCTCACTACTTAGAGCCCAGCTCTGAATCTATTTATGCATGTATAAATATTAATACAGAGTAAAACAACAACGACAACCCTGTAGAGTTTCATTAAAGTAGGGTTTGGGGGTGTGTATGCAGATCTTACCTCTACTAGTGAAGCTTTTTCATATATACAGAGTAAGATATTTATTTATGACTTATGAGGATTCACATTTCCTTTCCCAATCATCCACAGTGGTTCTAAACCCCATCCCACCATAAACATCTACAACATCTGTGCTTATACTTGCTCTGAATTTTTTAGCTTTGACATAGAAAAAGTAGTCCAAATTTTGCAAAAAAAAAAATGGCCATATTAGTTTTTTTCTAATCAATCTTTGAACTACATTTTTTAGAATAAAATTTGGACTACTTTTTCTACATCAAAGAACATGAAATTTTGTAGAGGAGATTGAGAAGAGTCCAACCGTGTTTGCATCAGAGCCTATTGCTCGAGTGCTGCAACCAAACAAGCGTGGAGTTCAACAGGACTCACCGGGAAAAGAGTCAAATGATCCTTTCTGTTTATTTATTGGCTAGATCCCTTTTTTTGTTTAGAAATTTAAATATTTTGTTATTAACTATACCAAAGATGATCTTGTTGTATCCTTTAAAAGAATATTTTTTGTCTGATGTAGAAGCTGGGAGGGTTTTTGTAAGTGTTCACTGTTTTCCAACAATGGACTAAATTTGATTAAGCTACACATAGCAGAGTGACTAACAAGTAGTTTACACTTGTTAATTTTGCTGGGAGTGCATTTTCTTGCAGCCAATTTTGATTTGCTAGCTGATTTATTTTTACCCTATGGATGCTAGATGTATAGAATACTCCCTTTGTCCCATAAAAGTTTTCCCATTTTCATTTTGATCTGTCCCAAACTAATTTCCCTGCTTTCTCTCTTTCCCTTTTTGTAAAAGGATGTATAACCCAAAATATTTCTCTCTCTAAACAAATTCTAACCACTCACTTCACGTTTCTACATTGTTTTCAACACTTTTCTTAATCTCCATTAAGTCAAAGTGGGAAATGATATTTGGGACGGCGGCAGCCATAGGCTTATGGCAACTTATGTGCTTTTTAATTTGTTTCTTAGAGTGTCTTATGTTGGACAATAGTCTGTTTGATGAAACTGATGTTTACTTTCCCAGTGACTCTGCCCATTATTTATTTTTGGGTCATTCCGATGTATTTGACCATTTTATATTTAATACAAAGGCATAAATATCACATTGACACTCTTGCCCCCATCTCAACACCAGCGGTAGAGGCCACTACATTTCGAGACGGAGAGAGTATGATGTTGAGGCAATTTTGTCCTTTTTTCTTCTTGGTGCATTTGTTTTAATTTTCTGTTTAAGATGTTGTGCCTTAATCTGAATGCCAAAATGTCTGATTGTTTCTAATTTGTCTTGGATGCGTTGTCTCAGACACAGAGAAATTTTACACTGAAGTCCAAGAAATTATACTTTCCAGATTCAACAAGACCTTTGATTGGTCACTCAAGGCAAAAATGATGGGCAAGAAGTCTATCGAAGCTGCTAGGGTATTTGTGGAGGAGACAGGAATTAGTGATTCTCTAACAGCTGAGGATTTTCTTGTTGAAAGAGAAGCTATGCTGCAGCATGTGTTTCCAACTAGTGAGCTCATGCCAGGTATCAACATGAGAGCATGAATCATCTTTGTACACTACTTTTTGTGATAATCTTTCTCCTTTCCACTTGGCCATTGTACTAAGAAACATGCAATTGATAAGTTTTCCAACTTTCAATGCATTGCTTGGAACTTGTGGTGTATGGGAGCCAGCTTGTATCGTCTAACATAACTTTTCTGGAGTATATATCAAAAAGCAATGCATCAAAGATTTTTAACGAGTAATGGGGAATATACAGATGAATACAATCAAATTTATTCTGTAAACCACGTGTCTTTTGTTACGGATACATTAGCGATCCTAAAATAAGAGGATATCGGTTCACGTTCATCCTTGCCCATGGCTGGAAGGAGGGGAGAGTAGTCCGTGACTAGCTAGCTTCTTTACTGATTGTGTGGGTATAAATAGGCAAAAGCCTACCAAGGTTTTGAAAGGCGAAAACTAGCCTCGAGGCAGAACAAAGCGTAAGCCTTAGTTCAATATGAAAAGTAATACTAAAATATGTACACCAAGGTAAAGCGAAATGCATAATCCATTTTCATGTTAAATAAATGATAAAATCACAATTCCTGAATTTTACAAAAAATGAGACCCTATCTTAATTCTTAAAACACAAAAGAAAAGATTTATAAAAATTAAACACATTAACATAAAACACAAATGTCTGAAACCCATCTTTAAACCTTATAAATATTAAATATGGACAAAAGTTCACGCAAAAAAAGTTACATCATTCTTTGAAGTTTGAACCGAATTTAAAAGAGAGAGAGAGGGATGTTGGAAAAGAAGAAACCGAAAAATTAAAAGTTGAAAGAAGAAGATGAAAGAAATAGAAGATAAGCTATTAAGGGCCTGTTCTTTAGGACCGTAAAAAAAGAGCTGGATGTTGGAAGAAACTGGAAAAAACTGGAAGGAACTGGAAGAAACTGGAAGGAATTGGAAGAACTGGAAGGAACTGGAAGGAATTGGAAGAAACTGGATAAAACTGGAAAAAACTGGAAGGAACTGGAAGAAACTGGAAAAAACTAGAAGGAATTGGAAGAAACTGGAAAACCTAAAAAAAACTTTAAAAATATTTATTTTAAATTCTTGTTGTTATAAATTATTATTATTATTATTATTATTATTATTATCATCATCATCATCATCATCATCAGCATCATAATCATCATCATCATAATCATCAACATAATCATCCTCATCACGTTATCTTAGTGAATGTCTTTAAGATATAAAAAAAGTATTGTTATTTTTTAAATACAAAAAACTACTTTTACAAAAAATAATTACTCCCTCCGTCCTATAATGTTCTTCCCACACATTTTTTACACGGTCAAACTTTAATCACTTTCTTTACCTATTTTCATTAGGTATTTCATAAAATAATATGGTCTTGTCACCACTTGTTTTGTAGAACTTTTGATGTAGTTTTTAAATATATAATTTTTATTTTTTAATTTTACACCTACAATCAAATAAATTGAATTGAAAATAAAGTCGGTCAAACTTCGTAAAATGAACCGGGAAGATCATTATAGGACGGAGGGAGTATAATATAAAGGCTGTGTAGTTATATTGCACCTCAATTTATTTATGCAGTGTTTATTATAAATAATGTATTTGTAATTATAGTTTATATATTAAAACATTTTGTTTTACATGTCACATAATCAAACCTATTGTTTCTTTCATGATTGACATTTTATTTTCATTGAATTCCTATTTTTGGAATTAAGACATAGAACTTTTTTGTTTACATTTTTTATGTTTTACTCATATTTTAATCTTTTTCTCTAAGTTCTTTTGACTTACAATTTTTTTTATAAAAATTAGAAAAATGAGCAATTTTTAAGTAATAAAGGGAAAACTGAGATGTCTTATAAAAAGTTATATTAATAAAACATTCAATGTAACTATTTTATCCATAATTTTTTAGTATAATTTAACATATTGATGTTTTCCTGTTTTATCATGTAGACTAATATACAAAAAAATGTCTTATTCATATTAAAAAGTTGAAGAAAAAAATAATAAGTGTGAATCGTAAAAATAGTGAGATGAAAAAAATAATTTATAAACTACAGTTATGAATATTACAGTTGTAATAATAATAATAATAATAATAATAATAATAATCACATTGAAATATATCATTTTTAGAGTAATTGGTTGAGGAGTAGAAAGAATTTGAAGAAAATGAAAAAAGTTGGAAGAAACTGGCAGAAACTAGAAGGAATTGGAAGGAACTGGAAGAAACTGGAAGAACTGGAAGAAACTAGAAGAAACTGGAAGTTAAGAGTTCAAGCCCTAAAGAACAGGCCCTAAATATGAAGCAATTGCCTTAGCAGCTACCACAAGAGTGAAATTGTGCCACTGAAGTCTGAAGATGGAGAGACGAAAGTTGACGCTCAAGTCTTGGAAAGAAGTGTTAACTATCTACTAGGTTTATTCAGTTTTTCTCAAGAAACTATATAGTGCATTGGCCCAAAAGAGTTTTTGTAAAAGAGGCCCAATAGCATTTTAAATATAACCCTTATAATTGTTGAAATTCTTATTAAAAGTGATGCTTACGCCTCGGTTACGCCTTACCGCCTCAGATTGCCTCGGTCTGCCTCAACATCGTGAGGCGTACACCTCAGGTATCCCTCTACTGAGGCTTAAACCTCAGAGGCAAAATGCAACCGCCTCACCGCCTCAAGGTGGACCGCCTCGGTCGCCTTTTAAAACCATGAAGCCTACAAGAGACCTATCATTATCATACTAGGAAACAACAATCCTTATTTAGGGATATTACTAATATAGAATAAGACTACTAATAGGAGACTTATAATAAATCTTTTTAGGAATATTAACTAAATTATAATAAGACTACTGATAGTCAAAGACCTTGTGGTCCAGCAGTATCAAGATGACTCTCCAAATGGGAGGTCACAGGTTCGAACCCTAGTGGGGGCAGTAACTCTATGTGCTTTATTAGGTTGAGGCTACATTGTAATAGAGTTATTAGTGTTCAAGAAAAAAGAATAAGACTACTAATAGGAAACCAGACACAAGAAGAAGAAGAGCATTCCGTGATGTGTGAAGTTTAACCCCTTCAATTAATTAGTCTATTCCATTTTTACATTTTCTCCATCAGGCATGTATTATCTCCATCTCAGGAACATCTTAGATATGTTCTGTCTCCATTTTTGGAATTTTTTTTCTTTTCCCATGTGATTTTTTTCATTCATTGTACTGATATCTTGCAATCTTTACCAGTGTAGTGATTTAATTTTTTAAATGAGTATCCAAACATTCATATGTGCTGTTAAAAAACTAACTACTCTCATAGTTGATATTAGACTAGATATCGAAATCACTGTGAATTTAGTCAAGTGTTTAACCATTTTGTTTGATTTCAGGTGCTAGCCGCTTGATTTTGCACCTTCATAAAAAAGGAATACCAATGTCTATTGCTACAGGGTAGAGTTTCTCCCATTCTGTTTTAGCATTGATATCTTTCAAATTATGGATATTGGAAGCTAAGACTTTTTCCATAAGCAAACTGGTTTCTATGTCCATCACAGCACTCACAAGCGTCACTTTCAATTGAAAACACAACAACATGGTGAACTTTTTTCATTGATGCATCACATCGTTCTTGGCGATGACCCAGAAGTCAAGCAAGGGAAACCTTCACCTGATATATTTCTCACAGCAGCCAAAAGATTTGAGGTACATTTCCCCAATGAATCCAATTTGAATTTCATTTCTTATGTTTAGAATATCATTATGGTCATGGAATAATATTGGGTCCTGACTCTTCATTTGCATAGGATGCACGGCTTGAACTGCATAACGTTCTTGTTTTTGAGGATGCTCCATCAGGTGTTGCTGCTGCTAAGAATGCAGGAATGTAAGTGAGTTGTGAGTTTTGGCAGTTGCATAATTGAACTTTCTGTGTCTTTAACTTTACTTTTTTCAGAAAAATAACGGGTTAATGAACCTACATTCTATTAATCTATTTTCTGTTAGACCCACAGTTGGTGAATTAATGTGGTATAAAAATATATAACAACCAGTTCATATAGTTTGTCAAACTCTCTGCTTCATCCCGTTTTATATATGACTTGCAGGTCAGTGGTTATGGTTCCTGACCCCAGATTGGATAGCTCTCATCATCGAATTGCCGACCAGGTTCTTAGTTCTTTATTGGATTTCAACCCAACTGATTGGGGACTTCCTCCATTTGATGAAGTATCAGCATGATAGAGAAGCATCAGTTTGGCGTATATTTAATGCTACATATTATGTTTGGATACTACAGTCTGTCAATTCTTTCCAGTTTTTTCTAATATCAAACTCTGGAATTCCAGCCGAAAAGAACGGATCTTTAGTCCCTAACAAGCGAAATCAGAGGGGACCCTATTGAATTTGGCACAAAGTTTTAAAAAACTATAGTTTGATGGTTGAAAGTGATACAGAAGAGAGAGAGAGAAATGTTGGACCACACAAAATTTTCCACAAATAAAAAGATGAGTCTTTTCTTGAGGAGTCTTTTTTTTTAGGATAAATCTATTTGTACCCCAACTTTTGTACCCTACTTTGTACCCCGCAGGTTTGCACCGACACTTTGTGTTGGTGTAAAACTAATTTTTGTTAATGCACCAACACTTTGTGTCTGTGTAAATTTTTGTTAATGCACAAAACTTGTGTCGGTGTAAATCATCAAAATGTCTGTGTATAACTACGGTGTACAAATGAAGTATAATTTGTGGTGTAAGTGTAGCATGACCCTTTTTTTAAGATAGAGGGATAAAATTTATACTCCTTATGACTTGACTTTGGGAGGTTTGTCTATCGCCTGACCCATTTCTGAAAGGGCTTTTATTTTGGTCAAAAGCCTATATGTTGGGCCTTTTTTAAACCCAATAAAACGATGGGCGAGTTTTTGAGCTTGAGCGAGTACCTCGGACTATGTCCAACTTTATGTGGGGGGAGGAGGTGAGGTAAGAGTGAATGTGTATCTATGCATCTTCCTTTCACTTGTAAAAGTAGAGCTAGATGTTGGAAAAAATAGGAAAGCCTTAGAAAAAAGGGTCAAAATCATTGTTTCATTTTATAAATTTCATATATTATTTAAATAGTTTAAACTCTACCTTTTTAATTTTTATCTTTTTTATTTTCTTCTATACCATTATATTATATCTCAAATCATATCAGTAATTTTTGTGTGACTTGCACTCTTTTTTTACTTTTTAAAATCAAAATCAATAATAAAAAAATTTATTTTGTAATTTGTATGTCACTAATTCATGTGACAAAAATAAGGGAAAATGAAGTAATAATTTCTATTAATGTTAGCTTCTTAAAAATGGGAATAAGTATTTTATTGATGTCTCAACGAAACAAAAATAATCTTGCATGCCATTTATATATAAAAATAATCACAAAATAACACGAGACTAGTGATGTTATTTTGCATTGGAAATGACTTATTTAACACGTCTTTTTTTATCTAAGTATCTTAAGGATAATTTATACGGAGTATATACAAAACACAATTGCTGTTTTCTATTTTTTTTAAAAACATCCTCCAACATAAAGGTGTAACACAAGTATATTTAGGTAAAAATTAAATCACACTATATCATAACGATAACACTAATAATAAACTAACAACATCATATTTAACAAAATCATATTGCAAAAGTTACAAAGAGAATTATAAATTAAATAATTTATGATTTTAATAAATCACATTAGCTCTAAAATAGTAACTATTCCGTAAAATTTACCTCGAGGGAGTCAAGGATAATTTTTTTTAATAAGTTGAGACATTAAACCATTTTTATTCTATTGTGATAATAATTGCTTTACAATAGTAACAGTAATAGTAATAATAGTAGTAGTAGTAGTAATAATAATAATAATAATAGTAATAATAATAATAATAATAATACTTTTTTTAAGTCATTGTTTGAAAAAATTGGAAAAAAACTAGAAAGGGTTTGGAAAAAAATTGGAAGGAGTTACAAGAAATTGAAGAAACTAGAAGGAGTTGGAAGGAACTCGCAAAGTTGGAATAAACCGGACAAAGTTGAAAGAAATTGGAAAAAATTAAAAAATGTTGAAAGTTAAGAATTAAAACTAAAACAAATAGAGCCTATATCGAGAAAAAAAGAGATATAATTTAAAATTAAGTGGTTGTAATTAATGTCAAATGTATGTGTAAAAAATTATACCTTTGTAGTAAAAATGGGCATTTGGTCTAGTGGTATGATTCTCGCTTAGGGTGCGAGAGGTCCCGAGTTCAATTCTCGGAATGCCCCATTTTATAATTCTATGTCACAAATTTTCACGAATAAAATTTTTGTCGATTCTGCCAATTATCTTCAATGTAATATTTTTAAATGAGTTTATGAAAGTATATATGTAATGCGATTTTTATAAACATCAAAATTAAAGTAAAATAAAAATAATTTAGCATTTAACATTTGTTAATGAAAATGCTCATGTATAAATTCAAAAGCAAACATCTGGAAGTCTTCTTTTACATTCATATTTTTCTTAAAGCTTTCGGAGAATACATGTTTTGTATTGTTACAAGGTTTCATTATCATTTAAAACTATTATTTTTAACTTTGTCTTTGTTTTCACTCGTGAACACCAACATAAAGTTGCCATGAGTGAACTTCAAGTTAATTAAAATAATCAACACATAACAATATTTGACTTTGACTTGTGTTCATAGTCATAACAAAACATAAAGCATTCATCATCGAATATCTTCATCTGGTCTTCGCTCATTGTAAATATATAGTGTTTAAGATTAGATGACAACTTTTCTTTGTTATAGTTCAACTACTATATCAAGAAATTATTTTGAAATCTATTAAGTGGAATGTCATCGCAAAATGGCATACCATTAAACTCTTTTCATATATATATATATATATATATATATATATATATATATATATATATATATATATATATATATATATATATATATATATATATATATATAATAAAATTACTTTTTTACAAAAATACGCTAATTATGCAATATTTATTTTTGGTAAAATAAAATCTCATCCACCAAGAGCTCCCATGATTTTTGCGAAACAACTTAAAAACGACTCATGGTATTTATCAATAAAAATGTGACTAACAACTTTTTATCTAGCTCCAAAACTCTAGCTCAGTAGTCTCTTTTATACATTCAATGAATTTTTTATCATTGGCTAATATCCCAATGTTTCACACGCATTCTTTAATGAGTTTTACACGATATTGTTTGTAACTGTCTTCAAGCTCTAAGAGCTTGTACAACCCGGTTGGACCGTTAAAAGTATTTTAAAATAATATAATTCTCTTGTACGTTCCTATTGATACATATTGCAGACGGCCTACCTTTGGTCTTTGTTGCATTGGGAGCCATAGAAAAATTATAGTCACAAATATATATTATGTTTGATGTTTGATTTAGATATTAAAAAAATTTCGAAACACATATGCATTAACTCGGATACTATATTAAAAAGATGGATGCATGAAAAAATCTAAATTAGCGATTTTACAGTTTACACTCATGATTTTTAGGAAACATATGAATGATGTTTATGATTTTTAAAAATGTATGCTGAATTGCTAAAACAAAATAATAATCATAAAAATATGTACCTTTTTAGGTCCTTTTTTGTTGAAATATTCCCTTTCACTTTTCTCTTACATATCTAGTTGATCTAGTTCATCTCTTGTCAGGTTAATTTTTTATATTTTCAATTGTTATAGAAAAAATGGATGCTCCTACCAACAATACGTAAAAAAATCGAGTGGTAAAATTTAGATACCGATGCTGTATTTTTTTAATCACAATATTGATCTCTTTAAACACTTATGTATTTAAACCAGAGTGAGGGTGGTTGATGCAATGACACATCCTTGAATTATATCTCAATACTTTGTAATTGGATTTCAGCATTATCAATTATTTCCATTAGTATGACTCTAAAATTAAGTAACTTAGGTAAAAAAATTTAAAAAGATGGATACTTATATCGCAAATTACGATATTTAATGCTTTATTAAATTTATAAGATTTGGAATTAAAAAAAGAGGGAAAATATATCACAAATTAATATATTTAATGTTTTATTAAAATTATAATATTTAGCTTTTAAAATATTCATATTCTCCAATGTGTTTGGATATTCTCCAAAAAGTTATCTCTAATTTTTACCCTCTAATAAAAAATAAATGGTTATATCTTTTTGTTTCTTTTTTGTTTTTATTTTTTTGTTTCACAATTCTAATTGAATTAAAGGGTAAAGTTATTTTGATCTTAAATTTTTTAAATAATATTTACTTTGGTTTGTATATTTTAAAATTGATTTATATTATTAGTTTGTGTTAATTATCTGTGAGGAAAAATCTATAGAAAGTATGTAAATGCTAAATGTATCCATGCCAAAAAGTAATACATTGATTGGGGAAAAAGTTAAAAAATGGAAAAAATAATGTTTCTTAATTATATAACACGTGTCTTACTTATACATTGATGCACACACTTTTCAATGCACAAACATTTTTTAGGAACTTCAATTTGGAAAATATATTTTTGAATATATTTTTTCCATTTAGAATATGACAATTTTAAGTAGTACTTCATGATCCGTTCATGATTCTCAAAAAAATGTAATATCAATAATTTTCTTGAATCATTATTTTGAAATATGAATTTTTTATACGATATGAAAAAGAAACAAATGTTTATCTAGGTAGTAAAGAAATACAAATTTTAAGTATATGTACGTCTATGGTTAACCTTAGGTCCACTATTTAAAATTAAGCGATTGTAATTAATGTCAAATGTATGTGTAAAAAATTATAACTTGTTATTAAAATGGGCATTTGGTCTAGTGGTATGATTCTCGCTTAGGGTGCGAGAGGTCCCGAGTTCAATTCTCGGAATGCCCCATTTTTATAATCTTTGTCACACATTTTCTCATTAGTCCTTTATTGGACTATTTTTTAGTCCCCCAATAAATTTTTATGCTAAAAAAATTGTAATGCACCTCATCTATATCTACCCATGAAGATAAATTAGATAGTCTCTTTTTATAATCTTTGTCACACATTTTTTAATTTCACCAGACCTTTACCGAACTATTTTTTAGTCTCCCAATAAATTTTTGTGCTAAAAAAATTCCAATGCACCTCAATTATATCTACCCATGAAGATAAATTAGATAACTTCTTTTTAAAATCTTTGTCACACATTTTCTAATTTCACCAGGCCTTTATCGGATTATTTTTTAGTCCCCCAATAAACTTTTGTGCTAAAAATGGTAATGCACCTTAATTGTAATGCACCTCAATTATATCTACCCATCAAGTAAAATTAGACAACCCAAACGGGCCACGGGCGACTTTGTCCAGAAATTTTTTTAATCCCTTGTCACAAAATTTTCTATTCTCACATACCCTTTATCGGAGTACTTTTCAATTTTCCAATAAAGTTATTGTGCTAAAAATAATTATAAATCATCTCAATTTAGAACAACAATAATGGATCTTGGACAAGGCTAAGCTTAATTTTATGTCTAGACATATGGGCGGGTGAAGCTTGGCATATGCTTAGATGAACAGTTCCAAAGTGCTTAGAATTTGATGAGTCAAAGTGCTTAGATGAACAGTTCCAAAAGTCAAAAGTAGACAAATATAGCGGGACGGAAGTAGTATCAATCTTATGGGTCAAGTATCATGTTTGTATTTGCCCATGAAGATAACCCAAATAAGCCACAGGCGACTCAGTTCAGAAATTTTTATATCCATTTGAAATATCATACTCTGGCTCACTTCAATTTTTCACCCAACTTTTTTTTTACCTTTTGTGTTTCTCGTTTTGGAGAAGAATATAGTCTAAGAATATGTTCTTTTGAAAAAATTCTGACCACTCACTTTTCACTTTTTACAATCTCTTGTCACAATCCATGGAACTACTAGCGTTGAAATCCCGCTCAAATTCTTCATTCTTGACACAAATTATTCCCTCAAGAGTATAGTGGACTTTACTTATGTGAACCTATTAGAGAACATAAAATATTATTCTTTTTCTGGATAGTGCACTATTAACACCCACGCTCGAAGTTGTTGAATGATAAATGAACTTGTCATATCCCTAATCCTAGGAGGTGAAAAGGAGAACTTAGATTCTGACTCTTCATGCCAAACATATTCAGATGTGTGTGTTGAAGATGATTGGATAATAGTTGAGTTTTTTTAATGAAATCAAATGTTCGAGTATCCCAAACTACAAAATAGTTTTAAAAAGGGGTACCAATTATATTATTAAAGAACATTGACCAAACATCTAGATTATGTAATGGTAAAAGATTAATCGTTGAAGAGTTGCGAAAGAACATTACCAGTGCAATTGAGGGTTCAGGAAAATTGTGCTGGGAAAAAAAGTTTACATAACTCGAATGAGTTTGGTACCATCTGATTCAATTCTACCCTTGAAGTTCTAGAGAAGACATCTCAATGATGTTATGTTTTGCTAAGACTATTAACAAAAGTCAAGATCAAACATTATTTTTTGTTGTATTTTTTTAACTAATTTGGTATTACTCATGGTCAGCTTGATGTTACTATTTCACGAGTGAAGTCAAAGACATAATTAAAAATATTGATTCTAGATGATAATGGAAACACTTACAACCATACCAAAAATGTTGTGTACTCTGAAGTATTTCAGAAATTTGGAATTAAAAAAGATTTTTTTGAGTAAATTTTCAATTCCTCAAATATTATTTATTCTACTTTGGCATTATTGTCCATTGATTAAAAAATGTGTTAGAAATATATTTACTTGATTCTGGAAAATATATTGTTTTAAAAAAAATCTAGAATTGACAAAAAAAATTGTTTGACTCCGTGCACCGCACGAGTTGAAACACTAGTAAGAATAAATAATACTCCCTCCGTCCCTAAAAGATTACCAGAGGCACCCTTTGACCACGAATTAAATATAGTTCAAAATAATTAAGTACTATAAAAATTTGATATTTCAAAACTATATTTTTAAATAAACCTAAATTTACTAAATTTATATTATAACAAAATATATACTTTTTCCATAATCTGCGATAAAAAAGTACCATAATTTGACCAAGAAAAATCAAAATGTGGCAGTTTTTTAGGGACGGAGGAGTAAGTAAGAAATACGAGTACTAAGAGAAGAGGCCTCTGGGGGATGGGAAAAACCATCCTCAACTTTCATTAAAGTTAATGTTGTGGCTTCGGTGGGGCTCATCGAGAATCATGTGGACTTTGGCTTGTTTGCTCGGGACCATGATGGATGCTTTGTTTTAGCAAAAAGTATCTAGTGTAGAGGAAATTTTGATCCTCGTGAAGCGGAGGCCATTGCGGTGAAGGAGACTCTTAGTTAGATTAAAGCTAAAGGTTGAACTTGTGCTATATTTGAGTCAGACTGTAAGGTCATCCATCAACTAAGTTCATGTGTTATCATTATTCTTATTTTGACTATATTATTGATGATTGCAAAATTCTTTGTATCATGTGTGGAGGAGAGCTCATATTTCAGTTTTCTCATCACTCGTCTAATGAGGCAGCACATACACATGCTATTCATTCAATGTCGGGTGTAGGAGAGTAAATTGATTCACCATTTCGGTTAGTGACATGAACCTCCCATGTCATCCTATGACATGGGTCCCGATCAGGGCGTCTACAATGTTCCATTCAAAAAATTGATGGTTCCTACCTTTCCTAGATCCTCCGGTTAACCCCCCACCTCCGGCCTAGCCCGAACATACCCCGCACCCCCGTCAATTGCGTGTCACAAGTTTTAGTTGATTTTGGAGTCAAAATTTGACTCCAAAATCAACTAAATCTTGTGACATGCAATTGAAGGGGGTGTGAGGGTATGTTCAGGCCGAGCTCGGGGTGGAAAGTTTATCGGGGGGTTAGAGAGGTAAAGACTATTAATTTTTCGAATGGAGCATCATATAAACTTCAGGTCATTTCATGATATTAAATTTCAATGTCATAATTCAATATCATGAGAACCAAGTTGTATTTTAATTTAATGAAGTGAAGTGTTCTTAAAAGAAGAAGAGGCCAAAGCTTAATTTTAGCCCCAAAGCCCGAGCCGTTCTAATTTCCAAATCCAAACTGTTATATTCTTACCCACCCATTTTTACCCTCCGAGCCACCGAAGGTATGAGTACGCATAGATTTAGAGCCGCCGCCCATGAAAGGGACCTCCTCCTCCAATGACGACGGATGCTGCGGTGGCAGGACTGCACTCTCTAGACCTCAATGCAATTGCGAGTCGGTTTGAATCTATCTTCAACGCCAGAGGATCTCCCCCTTCCCTACGTCGCTCCTCGCACCCATCCCTGTCTTAATAGCCCCCCGCCGCCTCGCCTCGCCTCCGCCGCCGCTCAATCCATATTTCTTCGTCGCCGACATATTACACATCGCACCCCAAGAACACCTAATATCCTGAAGAAGAAGTAGAAGTAGAGGCGATGCTGCTCTCCAGAGAATTGTCCCGAGTTTCCAGAGGCGGGGTCAGTAGATTCAGAAGGCTGTTATGTTTTCCTGCCGAGGAGCTCCATCATCGGCATCACTTGGTTTCCCGCACGAGCCTCTTGTCCCCCATAGATGTATCCCAAAAGGTGGGAGGACTGTGTTGTTTTCTCCTTTTTGAACTCTCTGATGTTACTTGTCTGTAAAGGCACTTTAAAGTTTCGATCTCTTCGTTACGGTATTGTGATTCTTACTTGTGATTTCAATTTTTTCTTCTTTTCCTTGTTTAAATTTTTAGGTTTCAGGTAGGAGGGAGATTTATGAGTGGGTTTCAGGTGCTATGAGAAGTATGGGGCAGCAGGTTTATCAACAAAACAGTGTTTTAGCTGAGGTTATTGGTCATTTTGTAACTTCAAATATGAAATATAATTGCCGATTATTTCTCTGGTGGTTTGTTCGCTGAAATGATTGCAGTCATTAAGAGGAATTATGATCCTCTTATTGCAGAGCTCGTTTCAGGATTTTGAAAAATCATATCCTCATTATAATGTTTCTCACTTAGTTAATATCCTTCCATGTTATATTTTCCTTTTTATCTCTATACCAGGAACAATTGGATCCATTTTCACTAGTGGCTGATGAATTATCACTTGTGGCCGACAAGCTGAGATCGATGGTTGTTGCAGAGGTTTGAATTTTTGTCCTTTCAGTATGCACAGTTATATTCTGTTAGAATATGGCTAAGTAATTCATTTTTCCAGGTTCCTAAACTTGCTTCAGCAGCTGAGTATTTCTTTAAAAAAGGGGTGGAAGGAAAGAGGCTTCGACCTACGGTATTATTTGATGTTCACATCTTATACTAATTCAAGACTGAACCCTCTTAGTAATTTACAAGGCTACGTGGGTCATGACTAATGTGTATAGTTAGTATCTTCATAAAATTTTCCATATGCTTTGCCCTGTCCAAACTAATTTTATGGATTGACGTACTCTGTAGGTTGTGCTTTTGATGGCAACAGCATTAAATGCACCAGTGACAAAATCACCAACTGAGGTAACTTTTGATTCTTCCCCCATGGAAGTCCGCAGAAGACAACATTGCATAGCGGAGATCATTGAGATGATCCATGTTAGTTTTCTGTTTTATTCTTTTGTGCACTTGCTGAGAGCATCTTATGGAGATTTATACTTTATAACTAAGTTGCATGGAGACGGGGACAAGTTAGGAGTTGGGTACGGGGATGGCAAACATCAATCTTCAAAAAAACTAAGATAATGGTATGACAAGGAGGCAACACTTTGTATTATATTTTAAAAAATTCCAACTAATTTTTTAAGAACTACTATCATTTAACATTGAAAAATAAACACCCTTAACATGTCTAAAGTTAAAAGTTTGATAAATCATCTAAGTAATACACAATAGCTTTTGTACTAAATAAGAGGTTGTTTAGAAGAATTACAAACCACAACACATTGTATTGAACTGAAAAGTTTCAAGTATAATAAAAAGTGAAAAAAGTATCTCAAGATGCATAGAATGACATGGGACATTTCTGTGAAGATTCGGAGTTCCTGAGCCCAAGAAACATTTAGGAAGCAGCATACATGAATGGTTCTTCTGTGCTTCCTAGCTATATTATGTGTAGTGTTTGTTTCACCAGATTTGGTGTATGGTGTAGTGGGAGATTAGGTTAACTAAACAAGTTGAACGTGATAAGAGGCCGCCCTTAAGAATTGGTTACCCAGATAGTGGAATGACAAACAACAACAAAATCCACATTACCCAAATAAGAGACCAGACTTGAAGTAAGAGTTGATTATCCAAATAATGCATTCTTAGTAACTCAGAATTAAACATGCATTCTTACTCAGAGCATTTTCTGTGGTAGCCTGGTAGGTGAAACACATCTATGTGATGTATGCATTATCATTTCAATTCCGCTGGTTAATTTAATTGTGATGCACTCATGGAGCACCAGCTACATCACAAATTTAGGGATTGAATTTCTTTTTAATTTCTTATTATGTCACAATTGGCAGTGTTCTGTTTTTTTTATTTTTGGGATTGAAATTCCTTTTAATTTCTTGTTTTGAATAACTTTTGATGTAGTTTTTAAATATAAAAATTTTATTTTTTATTTCTATACCAATCTTTAGATAAAATGAATTAAAAAAACTTGATATTTCGCTTCTCTTTAATGTGGCAAACATTTTGGGACATAAGGAGTATCAAATATGAAGATACATCCAAATCAAAATTCATTTTGTTGTTCGTAATCCAGATTTTTTACCTTCAAAAAATATTTTTGTTGTATAACAAGAAAATGAAATACAAAGGCGGATGAAGAAGATAATGAAGTCAACAGAACCCAATGTATTCTCACAAGTGGGGTTTGGGAGGGTAAGATGTATGGAGACCTGACCTCTACCTGTAAGATGTAAGGAGACAATGGAGTCAAGTTTTTAATCTTTTAATTAAAAAAAATGAATACTAAAAAAACAAAATAAAAATATAGTCTGTACCTTGGATGGTGCACCAGACTAGGCCATACTTGGACTGAACCTAACCGGACAACCTGGTCCAAATAACTCCCGTTTATGTGGATACCGGGACTGGTCTAGACCTGGAACTGAAATGGATGGGACTACACCTGTTCTTAATAGTATTAGTCTTTTTGGATGGCCAATCATAGTACCAATCTTTAGGAAGATGAATCCTTAAGCTCAACTCTTTTCCTAGCTCACTTTACAACACATTAACAACACCTATCTAGCCTGCCGTACATATATATTGGTGTGTGCTTCTCATATCTTACATCAATTCATCATCATAAGTAATAACTTCTTATTACTATCTTCTTCTAATACTAGTTTCTATAATATTGTTTCCGCTATCTTGTGGGTGGCAGCCTACTATTGCCACCCTCTAGGCTGCTAATATCACAACACTTAACATGGTATAGTAGCCTCTTTTTGGGGTGCTTACAATTTGCTAATTGCCATCTTTGTCGCATCTGCTGTTTTCAATTCCCTCTTTATTTCCTGAATAGTCGTTTCACTATATCTAGACAGCCACATGCTGTGAGATGACTCAGATGAGCAACTTCCAGCAAATTTCCTTCCCGTGGAAGAAAGCTCCATACTACCCCTTGGTATATCTAAGAATCCTTTGACCTGGAATCATTCCTTCTCCCATGAGCCACATTAGTGTTGAAACCAAATAACTCAGGCACTAACAGAATTTCCTGGTGGCCACTTCATGTATCATATCTAAGTGTTTTGAGAAAGGAAACACCATCATCAATCCCACCTATCATTTTGGCTTCACAAATGCATTGCCTTGTCTGCAATTCCACTGTTCATTTTCAGAGGTTCTTTTAATGATATGGTAATTCTGGTTGCTAATCTAAAAAGTCCAACACCCCGGCTTTCTGCAGGCGACATCATTTTGCTTTTGTTGCCGGAGTCCGGAGGAGCTGCTACGCATTGCAAATGCCTATTGTGATCTACCTATTTTGGATGCAATCAGCATTTCCAGCCATTTCTTAAGTTCACCACCTATATCATCGTGTTCTACTTCCTCCAACAATTCAACAGGTGAAATTTGGCTATGATCTGCTACCGCTGATGTCGTTATGTGTTAGTCTTTCCTGTTAGTATTTCTTGGAAAAATAAATTTTCTTCCCTGCTTAGTTCTTGCTCATTTCTTTGGGATGTTAAAAAATAATTGGATGCATGGGCTGGTCCATAATATTGCCTGACTACTTGCCTACGGGTTATGAAATGCCGTTTTCTTGCTGGAGTTCTTTGAAAAGTCAGGCACTGCAATCTGGGAAGTTTTAAAAGGTGTTACTGTTGTAGAAAAACGCAAACTTGAAATATTTTGCTGTGGAGGCCACCAATAGACTTTATTTCACCAGTTTGGGAAGCTGCTGTTAAGTGCAATACTTGTCAACCATCAAGTATTCCCTCTTTCACCGCTCACAAAAAAAACCGCTCACAAAAACTCAAGTGTATGATCTAGAGCTCGTGTTGCTATGAATCGCTTATGTACGGCTTCTGTCTTCATTCCGTTGGGGTGTATATATGTCAAATCTTTCAAAAGACAATCCGGTACTCTGCTCTTTGGTTGACACAAGCTCGTAGAAGTTGTACTTTAAGGTGGTACATGATCTTTGGTTTGACGTTATTTTATGCAAAACTCACAAGCATTACATGACATTCACTTCGATCTTGTCTGATTAACCCTCCAATGTTGCTTCCTCAAGAGCTCAAATAGTTTGTGCTTTTTCTTTGAGACTAGTGTTTTTTTGTATTAATTCAAGCTTGAAAGTTAAACGTTCCAGCTTGAGGGGAGTGTTGAAATGGAAAATTCCGCGCACCACTCAATGTACTCCAAGTTGTACACCATCCATTTTCATTCACATCAAACACCTTCCTAACTCATTTAGAGCACACATCACAACACATTCCTAGCCTCTTTTGCATCTATTTAAGGTGTGTGCTTCTCATATCTTGTATTAGTTTATCATCATAATTAATACTATTCTTATTACAAAGTTCTTCTAACACTAGTTCCTCCTATATTGTTTATGCTATCTTGCGGGTGGCGGCCTACAAACGCCACCCGCTAACCTCCTAATATCACAATATTACTTCCAAAGGCTGTTTAGAGTAATTGATTAAGCCCGCTTGCTGGTCTGCTTTATAGGAATTTTACTTACAAATGGAAGCTGACTTTTAAAAGTGAACTCTTTTCGGGGGGGCAAAATGTACAGAAGTTTTCTGGTATTTGCATGGATTTTCTTCAATTTGACAAAATAAAAGAAGGGTCTAAAAGGGTAACTTGTTCCTTGTTTCCTGTATCTCCCAGTTTCCCTCCTAGGTTTTTGTATATTCATCTTGTATGGATATTCTGTTACCCCACAGGTTGCTAGTCTACTTCATGATGATGTACTGGATGATGCTGAAACAAGGCGGGGAATAGGTTCGCTGAACTTTGTAATGGGAAATAAGGTGCACTTTGCTTCTCTCTCTTCTTTTTATTTTTACTTAGAAATTGATGAACTGATTTAATTTGTTGCTTCTGGATTTCACAGCTCTCAGATTTAATTTGACATATCTATTACCATTAATAACTTAGTTTTACAGACCTCTTATCCCAATCAGAGGGTACAATATACCTCTACAAAATAGATCAACAATTGCATTCCTCAAGGGATGAAACAAACATGTCATGACGCCATGCCTGAAGGTCCTTCAAAAGTAACAAAGATACCCAATCTCCAAAGAACATGTACTTTGAAGAAGGAAAACAGATTCTTCATCTTTCGACCTCTACAAAATCTTAACCACCTTCCCATGTTCCACAACTTTCGTACAGACAAATAAATGCAGGTTTGCTGTTCAATGGACCATAGAACAGTGAATTTGACAAACAAAGCACAACCAAAATGTGTGAGGGAGGAAGAAACACAACGAACTCTTGGGGTTCTTGAAGGTGTATGACGTGCTTCTTCGATTGATCAAAACTCCAAGTCTTGTGAAATCTGAAAGCTAATAAGCCTTCCCTACCTTCTTTTCTTTTGATTACTTGTTTGGTTGCGATATACCCTTAGAATAAAAAATTTGAAGTATCTTCTATTATTTACTTCTCAAAGTGACTGAATCAATGTTTGAGGATTTTGCAGCTACACCTCTTTTCTCCCATAAACCCTCCCCTGGTCCATTTACTATTCAGCCCTCACTCTCTCTCCACAAACTCTTTTTTTCTCTCTAAAAACTAAAGAACTCTTATTTACACAACCAGCTAGTTGCCCATTCAGGAATTCTTTGGTTTTACTAACAATTCTCTATCTAACAAACCGAGATTGCCATTTAGTCCTTTAGTACAGAGTATTACTTTTGCTACACTTAGGGACTCTATTTATTTTCCTAAAAAAGGGACTCTATTTTTAGTCACATTTAGTTTTTCCATTCATTTTTCTGATTAAAACACATCAAAATTGATCATACTTTGGTGTGTTGGAAATATAATTTTCACCGTTATTATGCTATTGAAAAAGCACATCAGAGTATGATCAATTTTTCACCGTTATTGAACAAAAAGCTCTTTATGGATGTTACTTTTAGACCCAGTCACGGGCGTGGGCTCCTACCCAGCCCGCAAAAAGAGGGCTTGGGCTTTTATTTTTAGTGTGCAGTCCGGCCCGTAAAGGCCCTGCAAACTTGAGGGCCCAGTATGTGATTTATTTTCAAGAGCGCAGCTTGGCACAGGCTCGTTCATTGTTTTAACTCACACACCTATATATGATTGTATGTATGTATTTATATTCAACCAAGTGAATTTTTTTTGTTTTTGCTTATCGAGTAATCACACACCAGTAATGATTATCTTAATTATATAAACAAAGACAGTGTCACACACAAATGACAAAACACACTGCATATGGTTGTTGCTCACTTGCTCTTCTAGCACTCTTATTATTATTATTATTATTTATTATTATTACACCGTGGTTCTTTTAATTTTAGAAAAAATGACCCGAGAATGACTGGGCACCTACGGTGTTATTATTATTATTATTGTTACATATGAATATATACAATATAAGATATGCAATAGTTAAAGGATTGTGAAAAATAGTTTCCTATATTTATAATATGTGTTTCAAGTGCAGGTAGACCGGGCACAAAGCCCATGGTTACTTGTTCTGGCCGGCTTCAAATGTTGGGCTCGCAATTTGGGCCAGACTCGGGCCTAAAAAATTATAGAATGTAGTGTCATGGCCTGGTCCAATCCTGAATTTGATCTAGTTTTAAATCTATTGTTACTATTGACCATGATGAGTTTGATGTTAATTCTCTATTGCACTCGATGGAACTTGAAGTAAGATGCTGAAGTCGAGTGACGGATGAGTTTAGTAACTCAATATGTGTAATAATATTGAACACAAATATGAGTGCAATAATACACATTGGTAATTTCATATACAATGCATATAAGAGTACAAAATGGTGCTGCAGCGATAATATCAAATGCAATTTTTGAACACGCCATATGAAAAGCTATAACCAAGGGGTCATGCGTGTGTTACTACTGAACTTTTTTTCTCCCTAATTTATTTTGAAAAATACCCTATGTGTATGTCAAAACTTTGTCTTGTTTGACGTCTGATTTGTTCGGAGATTACCAAAGTGACAGGCTTTTGTCAATAAATAAATATGAAGGTGTAAGTTCGGTATTGTCCCAAATTGGATAACAATCCTATGAAGCTTGTTCAATTTCAAGTCCTGATCTAGTATGATCCAGTCTGATTGGATTCTAGTAAAATTTAAAGTTGTTTCTTTTAAATAATAAGTAATAAGAAAAGTTGAAGAGTACAGAGCCTACCATTTACATTTTAGTGGCAGATAATGCTAGTTCTACACACCTGGCCTGTTTTGACATGTTAGAATTGCAAAAAGGTAGGGGTTTGCATTCTTCATAACCTACATTATAACTAGAGTAAGTCTCTCTTACATTATTTTAGAGTATGAAGTATGCATAACTCTTTGGAATGTGAAAAGGGCAGGGGGGGGGTTCATTGTTGGTGAATAGTTAATCGAGACAAGATCCTCTTCGACGGATACTTGCTTGAGTATACACATAGAAATTCAATTGATAAGTGAATTGTTTTCCGTGGTAATTGGTGATAGATATCTTTTGGTTTACCTTTACTTGATGAATTGTACTTTGTGCTTTATTTTTTCTTTGCGTGCTTGAGCAGAAGGTATTTCGGGAACCACATCTCTACCTTTTGTAGGTAGGGTGATGTTTACATATACCCATACCCCTAGATCCCATTTATGGGATTGTAGTGGGTTGCTTGTTGTAGTAAAAATAGTTGATAGACTAAATAAAAACTTTCTTAACATTCTTTGGTCCCTCTAATGATGCAGTTATCTGTGTTGGCTGGAGACTTTCTGCTTTCCAGAGCTTGTGTGGCACTTGCCTCTTTGAAGAACACAGAGGTATATCATAGTTCTACTTTCTTTCATGGGTTTTATGAGGCATTCATATGTTTTTTTTTTTTCAAAAAGTGAGACAAGTTAAATTATCAAAGGCGGAACTCAGAAAAATTTCATGCTTTAAAATGTGTGGAGTCATGCATTGCATTTTTTAACTAAATGATTACCCCGACATTCTATTGTTCATATAGTTAGAGGGAGGTCACATGCTCCAAAATATTTCATGCTTTAATGTAGTCTGCACACTTACATTACATTTCTCAACTAATTCATTACACCAACATTCTTTCTTGTTGGGAAACTCACACTTTTAGCCCCTCAATTTTATAACAATTTGTAATCAGGGACCGATTGTATGCATTTTATTCCCCAATTGTTATAATTGAGATACAATTGTTCTTAGTTCAATCACCATTCAATATTGACATTTATCTTTTTTTTTTATTATTATAGAGAAACATGATTTTATTAATGTTAAGAAAGAAAAGTACAAAGGAAAGTGAGTGATGAGGGCAAAAGCCCAAAACAACAGGGTTAAGAGAAATTAAAAGGGGAAAGATCACCCTCCGGTGTGGTCGGAACAGGAGTTCATTCCGAGCAATTCTTCAAAGGTGACACCACTTGAATAATGATGGTGGTCACCCCTGCTTGGCCTCCCACACCCCTATACCTCGTGGGTTATTCCCACGCAGTCCATAGAGGGCGCGACCACTTCTTCTTCGAATTGTTATCTCTGGAGCCACTTTCTTATTAGCTTTTTTAGAGCGTGCAAGAGTGAAATTGTCTTCAAAGCTCTCCTCTGGAAGTGGGTCCTCTTGGATATCCTCAAGGAGGCCGAAGGTGTTGTTAGAATGAACTGTTGGGGCAGAAGAGTTTCCAGTAAGGGATTTGAACGGCGCGGAGTGCTGCTCTTTAGCATGCAATTCTTTGCGGGCGAGCTTAAGTTGCTCGATTTGATCACTGAATGAGAGATTGGCAAAGATGCGTATTCCATCAGCTTTTTCTTTTGCACGCTGCTCTTCTAATTCCCTGAAAACACAATAAGAAGAAACTTTCGGTTTGGGAACAGAGCTAATTTCATCAATTCCTTCAATAGTAGCTTGACGTTTATCTTGACATTCTAAATGATATAGACTTCCGAGAGTGCTTCCCATAAGATCTACTGGGAGGGAGTAATTGTATATTCATTATAGTAATGGAGGCTAAAATTACAAAGGCATAGGTTCCCATGTTACATAATGTCAATCAATTGAGGACAAACTGTGGTTCTCTCTATCTTGTTTGGAAAGTCCCTACATTTTATACATTTGGGTTCAGTGAATAGCAAAGGATCTGGTGGGTGTTTAGATATAAAAGTGCATATTTTTCATTGTTTTCACAGGTAGCTTGGGCATACCTCTATTAGGCTATCATGCGTTTGCTGAAGCATTTCAACCACATTTTTTATCTCTCTGTTCATTCTGTTTGCTAATAAGACTGCATTTGCTTGATAGGTTGTGTCATTGCTAGCAAAAGTTGTTGAACACCTTGTCACTGGGGAAACAATGCAAATGACAACTAGTGCTGATCAACGTTGTAGGTACGAGTATATGATTGATCTATTGTTGATGTACTTCCTGGTTTGAGAGAAAACAATACTATACTATCAATGTGCAAACAGGATTGCTAAAATAATTGATTGAACTTTTTCCCAGCATGGAGTATTATATGCAGAAGACATATTATAAGACAGCATCACTGATTTCAAATAGCTGTCAATCTATTGCTCTTCTTGCTGGCCAAACTGCAAAAGTTTCTATGCTAGCATTTGAGTACGGAAAAAATCTGGTTTGTATACTACTGCTTTAGAATGTTTTAACAATTTAAAACAATAAATTGAATCACAAGATCCGGTGCTAAAATATTTGTGCAGGGACTGGCATTTCAATTAATAGATGATGTTCTGGATTTTACTGGCACATCAGCTACTCTTGGGAAGGGACCGTTGTCAGACATTCGACATGTAATGTTTACATTTGTTTAATCTTTGATATTCTAGACACTAACTGTTTAAAACTTGGAAAATGCTAGGGAAAGGAAGTAGGTAGATCTATTAAGGAGAGCAAATGTGAGAAATAAAACATACGTCGTATGTTCCAACTCAATTAATCTACAATGATGTTTGTGCAAACTCATTTTATTTATCTAATTATTATCATATCAAGACTAAAAATCTGAACATATGATTATACTCTACTGCCCCCCCCAAAAAATGCAATTGATATTCTGTTGCAATTTATTTTTGCCAGAATTTTTTTAAATGTCTCCCATCAGTAGTACCTTGATGTGTGGTGGTTTAGATCAGAGTTTTGTTATTGCAGGGAATCATAACTGCTCCAATATTGTTTGCAATGGAGGAATACCCCCAGCTGCGCTCCCTTGTTGATAAGGGGTTTGATGATCCTGAGAACGTGGAACTTGTAAGTTTTTTATTTGTAGGAGCGCATTTTTCTTTTGTATACTGTAATGTTACTATGCTGGCATCTTTTGTTCACCATGATCTTCTCTCTTTACCACATAAGATAATTGGATGTGTGCAACCAAATTTATTTGATCATAGGCACTGCTATACCTTGGGAAGAGTCGCGGTATACAAAGAACAAGAGAGCTTGCAAAAGAGCACGCTGTCCGTGCCTCAGATGCTATTGATTCTCTTCCCGAGAGTGATGACGAAAATGTTCAAAGATCAAGACGCGCACTAATACAACTCACAGAGAGAGTCATCACACGAACTAAATAGACGCGAAAGGACCAGGTCATGCATTATTTTTTTCACTCTTTTAGGGAATTTGTTTTGTTCTCCCCCTGTAGTGCCGGGCTGGGTTCCAATAATTGACATTTGACGGTTGTTTTTTTTTTTGGGGGAAGATTTTCTAATGGGAAAATCATGTAAATTTGTCCAAAACTTCTAGGGAAATGATTTTGTTGAAGTTGGTGAGTTTTAATAAGTAGAAGTTGAATATGCACTTGATAGACAAGAAAAAGGTAATTTTGTGCTCATTTGTAAAGAATGTTCATCCACTTGTGAAACTTTACTTGGTCGTTCTAAAGAATATTTATAATTTGCTACCAAGGTATTTATAATCTAAAGGAGTTGTTTTGGAGGCACTTTTGAAGTAATTCAAGTTTGGTTA